GATGGACTCTAATGCTTACACACATTTTCCCAGACCTACTACATGTGCAAGAAACCATCCACCTAAATTGCTATTATGTTACCATTTGCTAGGTTACCAGTGTGATCCTTGCAAAAATGATACTGTAGAATCCATTTAAAACTGTAAAACAGTAACTCACTCAGGAAAATATTTTGTCCATTTCCTAGAAGACTTAAAAAGGCTACATTTTGAAGAAAGGACCCAGTTTTGTTACCTTTGCTGCCTCATAGTAAAATGGCGGTGTGGGGACTTCTCTGTCTCTTTGGGGTTACTCTCTACCCCTGTCAACAGCCCAGTTCTCAGGCCTTCTGCTCCCTCACACTTCCGCATCAGAAGTCCTGGGAGGGCATTCACTGGGCAGTAAACTCATTTTAAACTTCTTTCACTTCCTCCATGTTTCCTGTGTTCCTATGTAACTGTTGCTAGTCTATGGAATAAACCAGTCTGAGCTCAAAACTGAACACATACCAGTGGTAGCTCTTTTTCAGGTAACACCATTGCATTTTATCCATGACCTGCTAGCTACAATTCCTGCATTCAGATCAATGGCTCTAGTGGGAATCTAGTGAGAATTTTTCATCCTATAACACCAGTGGATAAAAGCTTTGAATCTGGGAATGTTTTACTCATTTTTAAATCACTTCATCAGTTGTCGCCTAGGATGTACTTGCCTTTGACAATAAAAATGCTTTCTTTGCTTCAGTTGCATTCTCCTTCCACATGTTCTGTTCCTTATGAAACTGGCTAGAAAGTTTCAGGAAAAGATGAAATGTAGTTCCCTTAAAGCTCTGTCTATCCTGGTTCTTTTTACACTCCAGAGTAGGCAGACCAAAGGACAACTGCAAATGTATACATAAAACACTTCAGTTTCAATACAAAGCCAGCAAAGACAATCTACAAACATGAGGCACTAAGGACTGTGAGAAACTGTCTTTCCAAGTAGAATTTACACAATGGATGAAGATGCCAGTTCTCCCTATTTATATTCTGAACTGCCCTGATGAAAACGTACCAGTAAAGGTAGGCTGTTTGGTTCATAAGTACCATTGAAAACCTAATCATTGATTAATTCTTCAAAATATGGACTGTGTAAAATGTACTTCATGGTGGTGTGTGTGTGTGTGTGTGTGTGTGTGTGTGTGTGTGTGTGTGTTTACGAGAGGCTGGGGTGGGGGGAGAGAGAGGCAGAGACAGAGACAGAAACAGAATAGTTCTCTCTTTTGGAAAAGAAAGGAAGTCGAAAATAATCCCACTGCACTTAATGAGGCCCCACAGGACTCACCCTGAGTCCAAATCAAAATCTCTAAGGCAGACGATGCTGAACTTTTACATTCCCAGAATCTAGCCCATGTGATGGGTCAGAAAACACCTGACACTTACTTCCACCAAACCTCAGACACATCTCCTGGGACCACAGATCTCTTTGTTCAGAGCAAAAAGCAGAAACAACCCACTGTCCTGGTTAGCCACCATTACGACTGAGAACTAGAGCTGACGTGATAGACAGTCAAGGCAGCTGTAAGGGATGCTAGACAGAATTCTGGAAGCAAGGAACAGGCAGGGAGAATATTTGCCACAAGAGGGAGCAGTAGAATTTGGTCAGATGGAAGACTATTTGGTAGAGGTTATGATGAAGGGTCTAACTATGAGGTGTAGGAGGTTATGGTGAGTAATTACAAAGTATGGACGAGAATGCTTCGTCAAAAGGCATTTATCTTTTAGAGAAATGAAAGGGATGAAGGGAAGAAGAAGATGAGATAGCATCGTGTTAACTCCTAAATTTTTAGCCCAATGCAAGACAACAATTTTTATTTGAAAGCAATATATGCGCACTGCAAAACATAAGACAAGCAATCTACGTGCTCTCACACCTTCTTTTCATTGTACATTTCTTTTTCCAGATTTAAGTTGTTTCCCTCTGGAACTTGTTACATCCATCTTGCTTCTTACCTACATACTGATCTTCCTACAGCTGATGGTACCATGGAAAAATGGCTGATCAAACTTGTAGGGCATCCTGAAAATAGATGTTAAAGCCCTAAAATGCATGTGTTTTTAGACAAATACATCCACAAGCATAGTGAACGCTCTGCTTTTCTTCTGCTGTTTTCTATTAACTTATTCTTTAGAGGAGAAATGAGACTTCACTGGATCTGAAGTGCTTTTCTCATCATTTATTTTTGTCAAGAAACAGATTAAGTACCATGGGGGAGGGAGCCATGGGTCTATTTTTTCAAGATAAATAAAAGTCTATTTTTGTCTGATAAAAACATGTTAAATATAGCTCGCAAAGAAAGGCCGAAGCTCTCTTGGAATACATCTTATTTTATCAAGCACAGTAAGCTTGAGCGAGTGATCAGTGCATTTCCTGCAGATCAGTGCTGTAGGCAATGCTGACAGCACCTCACCTTATTCTAGAAATGTATTTGGAGTTACAGCACCGTCACTGCTATGCTCTTTCCTTCCCCTTCACAGGCAACAAAGGGTTACTGAGCGCTAAACCTAAATCCAAAATGAAAACTAGTCTCAGAGAGTAAATAGCCAGATAGGTGGATAAATGCAAAGCACGACGGTTGCGTTCTTTTAATGCATTACTCTCTTCACTCGGCCTTGTTAAGCTTCCAAGAGAGAGTAGATAAAGTGTGATTGTCATGGATACTCTTACATCCTTCGCGCAGCTGAGCAGCAAATAATGGTTTGCTTCTCCTGAGCACCCCCCCACACCCACACCTTATTTTTTTTTCTGTTGTTCGAGGAATTAATCATTCCATTTTTAATAAAACAACAGCCATTTTAAAGGTGAATAATCGGGGTTCCTTTTATAGTATACGGAAGAAATCTTAGCTAAAGAGCCCTAAGATCCAAAGGAAGCCTTTCAGAGGGGCAGAAATTGTAAATTGAAAAGCAGTTAAGAAAACACATCTTGCCTCCCTGAGAAATAAGTGATCCTCCCCAATGGCTCACTCACAAAGCCCCCAAAATGGAGCAAGCTCTCTCTCCTTCCTTCCGCTCTTACACCCGGCTCACCTCCCAGGGAAGCAAGTTCGGTCAACGTAGAGAGCAAATGCCAAGCAACACACACAGGATTGGAAAGAGGAGCCTGAAACCAACCGTCCGTCTTTGGGCTTTGTTTTCTTATCTGAAATGAATGAGATGTCTCAATTCACTTTTCTCCCTCCTTTCCTGGCTCGCTGCAGGAGAGCCGTGAGCAAGAGGAAGCGGGTGAGTATGTGGGTCCATGTGTGTTGGGGTGCATGAGGGGCTTTCAGAATTCCCTCCTGTTACCCCCATTTCTCTCAGGAATTCTTCACACGGGTCCAGGCTTGTGGATGTTCAACGGCTCCCATCTGAAGCCACTCGCACAAGCAACGCCTCGAACCAGATCCGATCAGAAGAAATCTCCACCTACTCAGCCAGCTCCTCCATGATTAGGAAGCCTGTGCTGTCTTCGCCACATCTGTCATTTTTTAAAAAGCTTCTTCCACTACACCTCCTACTGATATCCTTTTTTCTCTTTTTAGTCTTTACACCTCCAGCAGGACAAAGTTTGTGTTGTTATATTCACAACCACTAGTGGCTGACAGCACAGAGGCAGAGCGCCTTAGAGGGAAGCCAGGCTGGGGTTGGGGGGGTGGAGGGGAAACATGACTTTCCTTCCAGTGACTGCAGGAGACGTGCACACTGGCCTATTCCAAACGCTATTTGTTAAATCTGATCACCCCTGCTCCCAACTCAGCCACTGCTACTTTAACTGGAGAGGGAAATACGAATCGCTAGCCCAAGTCATTCATCAAACAGCAGCGGGATCTGTAGGGGGAGGGCGAGTTAAAGAATCAAGAGCGCACAGATGCCGTATTTTTTCAAAGCATCTCCTGGAAGGATTCGGCGTTTTTAGCCCACTGTCCACCTGTAAGACCTCCCTCTCCTTCCTGAGGGAGGAGCAAAGAGGGCTATCCTCTGCATCTCCGAACACAGACCCTTTCCCCAGGAGCCAGCACAGCCCCTGAGGCGGATGATGCAAAGTTCCCTTGAAATCTCCAGGGGAAGATGCCCGTGAGAGCCGAATCGTCACCGCACACCACGGCCCAGCGTCCAAGAACGCGGGGCCCTAGCCCGCTCCCCACCACATTTCTTCCCCGTCTGTTCCTCAGCACGGCCACACCTCCCTCCTCTCCGCACTGCTACGAGAAGGCGCACCCAGCGCCCGCCAGCAGAGAGGGCTCGGAAGTGTGGCCGTGAGGAAGACCTCAGGATTAGCAGGAGGCAGGATGACCGTGGAGAGGAGCCCAATGGGTGGGGACGCCCGGATCCCCAGCGGGGCTGCTCTAGGGTGGACTCAGCTCTCTGCACCTTAAATCCCCCCAGTCCAGCGTAGCGCTGGGTGTAGCATCCCTCCTTAGCAGCCCTCTCTTCCCCCTGCAGGCTGCACCGGCCGGTAGACACTCTCACGCCCAGGAACACCAGCCCGAGCAATTTTACTCTCCGAGAAGCGCGGACAGCCAGAAAATGTGCAGGCTCGCGCGGCGGCGGCCCAGCGCCCGCCGCGGC